AATTCTTTCCCTAATGACATAGTAGAGACTCTGTCGCCACAGCTAAGAGCAGGCTCGAGACAATTACTATATTTAAGTCCTGCTCTGCAGGTTATCATATCCACATCTGCAAGCGATTCTCTTTGTAAAGCATTTGGAGTTATTTGCCACAGAAAACTCATTGGAAAAGGCCAGCAACTGCTTAAGGAGGAACGACAGATGTATTGGGAGGCTAAGCCGAGACAGACATGCAGCTTTTTTCTCTGCTACTTCAGTCCTACCCCTGCTTCTTGAAGCCCAGCTCTTCTTATCAAAACAGAAAATCTGTGTTTAGGCTTGAATGTAGGGGTTACAAAGGACAAATGCTACCCACCCACTGGCCTATGAATAACAGAACAATCCAGAGAGCTGGTCAGCTGCTCAGAAACCCCAAGAAAGATCCCCTTGACATTTACAAAAGAAACTAAAAAGACATTTGTTGAAAAAAAAAAAGCTAGGACCCTCTGAATACTGAGTTCCCAGCATTCATGACCAAGTCCAAGTGGCCACCGCTCTGACTTTGATTCTCTTGTTCAGCAAATGGGGACAGTCTATACTTAATTTTCTGTCCTGGAGGGACTGGAAACATTAGAGTGATAATAAATATAAAAACAGTTTGAAAAAGGATTTAAGGATTGTCCAAGTATCTGTATTACTTTGATGAACATTATTGTTGTTATTATTATGATCCTGTGATTACAGTTACCTGTAAGATTTTATATGGCAATGGTTTTCCTAAAACCTAAATATAATCCAGGCCATGTCCTCTCCGGTATGGAATTTCCAGTTTCTCCTTCCTGATTTCATGACTTTCTGAGTTTATTCAGAATCTGTAGCCTTTGAGTTTGTTCATTTTTTTTTCAATTGTTACATAGAAATTTTCTGATGGCTGAGTAGTTTGAAGTGCCAATCATACAGGACAGGTACACAGATCTCTTAAAGAGGAAACCATGCCTCCAAGTGCAAAACTGTGGAACACCCACTCTGCGCTCCACCAACCCTGCTCACCTCACCACCCCCATCCTATCTGTCCCAGAGACCAGACTTAGATGGCTCTGTCCCAACACAAGAGTTTTCAAGATACACAAGACAGCTGTTTGTTATGGACTGCTTATTCAGGTAGATTTCTCTCTCCCTTTTAACATTCTTTTGATGTAAATCTTTACATTTCCATTAGCTTTCATTTGCATGACTTTTAACTTTACTCCTGAGGCACACTAAAACAATAGAGGAGAAATCAGAGTTTACAAAAAACAAACAAACAAACAAACAAAAAAAAAAAACCCTACAAAATCCACTATTTGACAGGCCCTTCCGAATAGAACATTTCTTTATGTAGGAAAGAAATCACAGAACACTTACCCATAAAAGATGCAAGTTTATAAGCTACAGACTGAGGCGCATGATCAGGCTAGGCTTCTGGCCACAGTAGTCAGTCAGTAAGTGCCTTGTTTCTTCCTCATTGCTTTTGCTCTCCCTCCAAATCCCTCACTCACCTCTGGTCAGGCCACAGCCAGGCCACAGCCAGGCCACAGTCCCAAGAAATCCATGAAGGCAGCAACAGAAACTCAAATCCTGATGTACGCAGAGCGCCTGCTGTCCAGTGAAATGCCTGTGACTTCATCTATGCTTAGCTTAACTTAATCACTCTCTCCACAGGAGATCTGGGTAGCATTGTGCATGTCTTCTGTAAAGCGAAAATGATGAACAGTGACTTATGGGTAAATACAATTAGATTAAAAAAAAAAAAAAGTCCATGCACTCAGCCAAGAAACTCCCCTGCAGTGGCCCCAGGCTGGGGATGATGATCTCAGAAACTTCTTATATAGCAACATATTAGAAAAAGTTGCAAGCAGAGAGATGTAAAATCTCAAATCTAGTCACTGACAAGGCCTGCATATGACCGCTTCAGCCGACATGTCCATGTGGATAGGGGCAAATTTCCCAAGATCCCATCTCTTGATGAAGAGCTGTAGCCAATCACTACCTGCTGAGAGACAATTTTCTCTGGGGAAAAGATCCCTTATAGGTTAATGTACATATAGGTAACACTAAATTCTGTCTATGTGTTTGTCTATGTGTGTGTATCTCTGTGTGACTGTGTGTGTGAGAGAGAAAGACAATATTAATTAAATAAAAGAGGAAGTAGGAGTAGAAGGAGTTGGATAGAAAAAAAGAGAGACGCTATACAATTCTCCTATATGGAATTCTCCAAAATATAAAAGGATTAAATTAAAAAGAGAGAATTATTTCAGGCTTGACGGTATTTGTGTGTGTGTGTGTGCTAGTAGTCCCTCTTTTTCTGATATAGCCTCGCATGTCCTTGATTCTTAATTTATCCTCATCCAGCAGCAAACTCATGAGGTAAGAAAGTGAATTGCTTGCTAACACATACACACACAAGACATACACAGGAAACCTAAGAAAATCCAAGGAACATGGACACGAAAATGTCATGAGATCTGACATGCTGTATGTAGAATAAGCTAAAAAGTATTACTGAAGGGATGGGAGTTTTTGTTTGTTTGTTTGTTGTCTTATGCTGAGGGTTGAACCCAGGACCATGCAACAAGCAATCTACCACCAAGGTCCATCCTCAACCCTGAAGTCATGCCCTAACTGGAATGTCTTCAGGATTATTTAACTTAATCAATGCATTTTAAAGATTATTTAGTTTAATCTATATACCCCATCATTTATTTGAAGGAACCTGGTTTCTTTGCAAAGAAAAAAAAAATAGCAGGCCAAGAGAGCTTTAAGACAAAGTAAAAGTCTACCCTTAACAGTGAGCAAAGAAGCCCCGTTCAGACTTCTAACTGGGCCAAGAGAAGCTTCCTTGTTTAGCAATGATATCTGTGTTTGTTGCTAGTGACCTATCCTTACTTCATTCACTTGTTGGCTTAATCCTTTAGTCATTTTTTATAACATTCCATAAATATTTTTCCGTACCCAGCATATTCACGTTGTAGGGCTTTAGAGCTTAGTGTGCTGTGGAAGTAACAGAGTATCAGCGCAGTATCTTTGAACAAGTATTTACTGGACATTGATGATGCACTTTCAGGTACCAGCACACAGCAGATCACAGCAGTTGGACGTCCTGGCCTCTCTGCGGCGTGTTACAAAGTATGAAGACTCATATAATGGGGACATACGCTGGCAGGGGGGAGGGAGAGGGACGAGAGGAAGAGGTTGGGCTAGCCAATCCAAACTGAAGCTAGGACAGAGAATGCTGGGATGTATGGTGTTTGTTTCTAAAGCACAAAAGCCCCCCCCCCAACCCCACATAAAGTTTCAACTCTTCGGGAAAACAAAGACTTTTTTAAAAGTAGGTTATGGTGAATTAAAAAAAAAAAAAAGGATTAAGCCAGGAGATTGTAGTGTACACCTTTAATCCCAGCATTCAAGACGCAGAGGCAGAAGGATTTCTATGAGTTCAGGGCCATCCTGGTCTACAGAGAGAGGTCCAGGACAGCCAGGGCTACACAGTGAAAACCTGTCTCGAAAACTAAAACAAAATGTATTATGAATTTTAAAATATGCTCTAAAGTCATTGATAAAGCTCTGTCTAAGAATTGTCTATGGGTGTTATCTCGGCACATACTTTTTAATTTACCCAATCAACTGTGGTCTTTTTTAAAGTATTTAGAAAATCAGAGTATGAAGGTTCACCAATTCTCAGTGAACTATCTTCCTGAGAGAGCTACTCTTGAACCACATCACTAAATCTCCATTACCCATCAGACAGAGGTCATTGAGACGTTGCTGACTGTGACTTTTAAGGTCATGCATCTTGAGCTCTGCAAAGCTTGTGCATACTCTTGAGTCTGTTTATGTGTCCTAAAACATATGTGCACACTTTTATGCGTATGTATGTGTAGTGGTTAAACATGGCTGGGTTACACATAACATTTCATTACAAGTGCTAGGCTTCAGAGTATGGAAAATAAGATTGGGATACGGTATGCAGAGAAATTCTATAATGTAAGAGCTTTTGAATGATTACGCAGTTCTGTGATGCGTGTAATAATATGGCATCTGTATAATTTTGAAACCACAATAGTGAGGAATGATTGAAGTTGGGTAGTTCCCTTCTCCCACAGGGAAAGCAACTTTCCCCAACTTTCCTCAACTTCAATGAGGTTCTCAAAGCCTCTGCAGGTTAGACTCTAGCTCAACAGTTTCTCCTGAACAGGCCTGGTCAACAACAGATTGCTCTGGCTTTGTTGTTATTCTTTTGTTTTTTTGAGATAGGGTCTCTCTAAAGCAGTTCTTGCTGTCCTGGACTTGCTTTGTAGACCAGGCTGACCTTGAAATCACAGAGATTCTCCTGCCTCTGCCTCTTGAGTCCCAGGATCAAAGGTGTGCGCCACCATTCCTGGCACTCAAAAGATTATTTTAGTACTTTTTGTTGTTGTTTTTTGTTTTTTTTTTGTTGTTTGTTTGTTTTTGAGACAGGGTTTCTCTGTGTAACTGTGGCTGGCCTGCACTTGCTTTGTTGACCAGGCTGGCCTCGAATTCCGAGCGATCTGCCTGCCACTGCCTCTGGAGCACTGGGAGTAGTCATGAGCCACCAAGCCCAGCTACTCTAGGTTATTTTAAAACACCCTCTTTCTCCCTGCCCTTTGCAGAGGCATGAGGGGACTTTTCTCTGATAGTTTCCCTAAGCGGGTCAGTTTCTGTGGGCCCCTGAGGAGTGATTCCCTTGGTGCTTTTTCAACTTTCACATTTGTCTCCACTAGTCTCCAGCAGTTAGGACTCAGTTCCTCCTACTTTGGTAGCTGTTCCGGGGAAGTTTGTACTCTGGTATCTACTTGTTTATTCAATTTTTCGGATAGCGGTCTACCTCTGAGTCCTGTTCTCTTAAATATCCAAGAGTTGCTGATTGTTCTAATTCAGTTTTTTTGTTGTTGTTGTTTGCTTGTTTGGTTGGTTGGTTGGTTGGGTTAGCCTCATACATCTCTCCTTCTCCCCCTCCCATGGGGTCAGGCCTTCCCAGAAGCCCCCACCTTTGCTGCCTGGGCCCACTGGAACCCCTGCTGCAGCTGAGCAAGGGGTTCCTTCTGTTGCTCTGACTGTGGCTCAAGGTCCCGAAGCTGTGATTCTTAGAGCTTGATTTCTGTGTGATATGGTCTAGCCTCTTGCCCTCCATGGCCCGAGCCTCTCCCAGCTCCTGCCTGACAAGCATGGGTCCCAGAAGCTTAAACACCACGCTGGATCCATCCAGCAGGGCCAGTTCCTCCTTCACGATATTATTTTCCGTTAGCTGTGCCTCAAGCTTCTGCCTCCCTGACATGGATTTACTCGAGTCCTTCTGCAGCTGTTGGTGTTTCTCCACTTCTCCCTGCAGCTTTGTTTGGATCAGCTCAGCCACGCTGAAGGCGAAAGCCTCCAGGGCGGGGCTCGCTGGGTCTCAGGCTCTGGAAGGCACCTGGGCTCCCCTTTTTGGCCCTCTTCACGTTCTAGCCCGTGTCAATAAACCCTCAAATTCAGGTTTTATTGTTGTTGTTGTTCAGTATGGACTATAGGCGTCTGAGCCCCTGGTAGGTGCAACCAGAAACCAGAATATTTTTATGTCATTACATCTGTGTGTGTGCATGTCCATATATGTGTGTGTGTTCATATGTGTGTCCCTAAATGGGGCATTTATACCACACCCGAAAGGTTCATTTTGAAGATGGGTCAGAAGAGTGTAAGAGCCAGAGGGGGTGAATGACTACAAAGAAACTGTTTTATGGACACAGCAGGGCAGCTGCCCATCTGAACTCACAGTTGTGACAGCCAGTGCAAGGCCTGTTCAAGCTCAAGACAGAGAGAATCTAGCTGTGGAGACAAGGGGTAGGCACAATGTCTTGTCCCTAGCTGAGGAGCTATTGGCAGTTGCTGGCTGCTGGAGAGGGACAGTTAGTTTTCTTTAAGGGGGGGGTGTGTGGCCACATTCCAGTAGAAGGCCATACATCCAAGAATCTGTAGGCATAACATATTGGAACCTTCCTTCCTTCTTTCTTTCCTTCCTTCCTTTCTTTTTCTTTCCTTCTTTTGTTTAAAGAAGGCATAAAGTCCTCTTCAAAGTTGAGTGGGCAGGGATGGGAGGTATGGATCTAGAAGGACTTGAGGAGGAGGAGGAGGTGAATATAATCAAAATGCACTGGACAAAACTCTCAATGAACTAATAAAAATAAAAGTAAAAAGAAGTGATGTAGAAAACTTTAAAATACAGAGGCAGGCAGACAGACAGACAGATGACAGACAGAGACTACATATGGTTATATTACCTAGCCAAAGTCACACTGCATAGGTTCGTTAGTGAGAAACTGCAGTCCAGGTTTCTTGCACTGTTTTCTTCCTACTGAACTTTTCTATCGTCGTCATCCAAATATCCTACAAAGTCTAATTTGAAAAGTTTTAAAGCCTGAGCTTTACCGTATGCAAATGCAGTTTCATATGATTCACAGACCACATTATGAGACGCCTTCTCGAGTCCACACTCCACCCCAGACTCCCCCAAAATGGGGAGTTTTGTCTTGTTTTCTACATTTCTCATGAAGTGCAGGCTACAGCTCACTGTCAGACAGAGGCATCTGGAGGAACTGTGGGCATTTTCAGCTCACAGTCTTTTCGGAAAGTCAGCTTCAGCATGCCGACTTTGTCTTCCAGGCCCACTCAGTCTCCTGGAGGTCTTTGGCCATGTACCTCTCTGCTGTGATGAACATGACTGAGAGGCTTCCACGTTCTTTCTATCTTATTGCCACAGCTGTACCAACGCAACACTTTCATCCCATGAGCTTAAGGGTCATCCGAGATGACTGGCATACTCTCCTCCCCAACACTCCCAACTCGAGAGTTGAATTTTGTCGTTGCCTTTCAAAAGTGAGAAGTAGGGACAAAAATCCACAGCAAATTAAATTCAGGGATGACAGCAGAAAGCGAACAAGTTATTTTTATAGAAGGGCTTTGTCAGCTTGGGGAGTGGCTAAAAGACAACACGATTGCTCAAGATCCTCTCAACGGGTCCAACTCAGGACACAAAACTTTAATAATGAATTTGATGTTGCAAGGCCGTGTAAAGATGTCCCACACTGCTTTAATCAAGTACCCTGACTCTAGCACCGGACATCCCTATTACCACTTGTCAGCCCTTAAAAGCTGATTCTTCTAACAACTGTGGGACGAGTCACCCAGGCCTGCAGCAGAATGCCCTGTACAGGCTACGCTGACCTAATTGAGCTGAAATTCAGAAGCTTCACGTTGATCCCTAGCAAGTACACTGCTGGCCCTTCTGAGTCGACCTTCAGTTAACAAAGATACACATTTGGACTCACTCACACGCCTTCATTTCTTTGAGTTCACTCAAGCGATACCATTTTAAAAGTTGGCTGTGAACAATGCCCATTGAGTGGCATCCTGATCAGCTGCATGACCCATGGGCTAGTTTCTGAAGCCCTCTTCTGTGTCATTCATTCTTTCTCTCCATTCAAGCAAACACAGCTTGGCTGGACCCCATGGTGTTCTTTGGGTTGAAAGAGCCTGCAGGTGGATGGAAGATGGGAGATAGAAATACGTTTGTCCTAAAATGTCATCTCTTTTAATACTGAGTAAGATGTTTGAAAACCAAAATTTATGGGGAAAAAAAAACCTTTTCTCAGAGATGTTTTATACTTAGGAGTTTCTAAGCATCAATGGTAATACATTATGTCTGTTCTCGGGAAAATACTATGACCTATCTATCACTATCCTAAATATTAACTTTGAAAAAGACACTTTTACATATAAAAGATTCATTATTCATTGTTGTCAAAATTGAGTGTCTATTTTTCTTCTTGGTTTTTATGTTTCATCCTGTTTCCTTAATAAAATTTGAAAATCTATATAAATAGTTAGACCTCTAAACTTCAAGTCAAGATCTATTCATGTCAATGTATGTTTTTCAAATATTATCGTTTCATATACAAATGCTATAAAGTAGCCTGTCGTGTTTATTACTGGCTAACTTTCCCTAGCTGTTTAACATAACTTTGGGACAGGGATTGTTGCCTTTTTAAAGCAGGGCCCTAATAGAACCAGCTAAACCTGAAAGCCAGATGCAGCAATTTTTTGAGCAGAGAATGTTTTTGTCCCACGGTCAGTGTACTGACATCCTGGTTGTTATTTGGGAAATTGGGGACCTGCCACATTCCTGTTCTCAGAGTTCAGAAATGCGACTGCAATGATGAAAGTCTTACTGCACCCATTATAAGTGCAGAAATGAAATATCTACCAGTTGACTATGCATTTAGTCTGGCTTCCAGTATTGTTCTACACAAGGACACACACTGTTAAGAATTAAATGGTGAGTACTCAAATAGCCCATGTCTGTTCTCTCCAATGACACTGGGGTTCCATCTGAGTGTTTCATTCATCTTAGTCCCCACTGTCTAGCTTTCTATTCATGCTATTTTCCACCTCTGTAAGGTCATAATTACTTTCAATTTATGGTCACCATTAAGCTGAGAGACAAGATATATTTCTTTTGTCCTTAAACATCACATTAGAAGTTAATCAGCAGATTATGGTAGGACACACCCATCAACCCAGCACACACTGTCTGAGGCAGGTGATGCTTGCATTTGAGGACATCTTGGGCTACATAGTGAGATCTTGACTCAAAAAATAAAAACAAACCAAAAGCCCCAAACCAAAATAAAACAAAAACAGTAACAACAACAACAACAACACTAAAAGCTTGGGAGGTAGAGAGATGGCTTAGTCACTTAATTGAAAGTGCTAACACACAACTTTAGGATCTGAGTTCAGAGTCCCCAGCACACACATAAAAAGCCAAACATATTATCCCAGTACCAAGAAGGTAGAAACAAGATGACCTCTTGAGCTGTCTGGCCAGCGTATTTAGCTGAATGGGTAAGTTCCAGGTTTCAGTGAGTGATCCTGTCTCAAAACTTAAGATGGATTCATGGATATAACCTAGAACCCCTGGACAGATGTAGCCCATGGCAGCTCAGTGTCCAAGTGGGTTCCCTAGTAATGGGAACATGGACTGTCTCTGACATGAACTCAGTGGCTGGCTCTTTGATCACCTGAGTGGGGAGTAGCCTTACCAGGCCACAGAGGAAGAAAATGTAGCCAGTCCTGATGAGACCTGATAAGCTAGGGTCAGATGGAAGGGGAAGGAACCTCCCCTATCAGTGGATTTGGAGAGAAACATGGGAGGAGATGAGGGAGAAAGGGCAAGATTGGGAGGGAATGAGAGAGGGGGCTACAACTGGGACACAAAGTGAATAAACTGTAATTACTATTAAAAATTTTAATTAAAAATGTCCAAAAAAAAAAAAACTTAAGATGTAGGCTAACGCACGGAGTAAAGGCCCACATGCTGACCTCAGACTTCTCCATACATGCCTACCCAAGTGCACACGCGCCCACATAGACATGCAAACACACACACATGCAAATAACTGAAAATATTTGAAGTCTTAAACCTCTGGTTTTCACGTTCCCCAGGTACACACCAAACACACGCCTTTGGATAGGTGACATGCTGCCAACAAACACCCACTGAGTCTTTTTGAGGTGTCTGCCCTTTGGCGTGGCTTTGCTGGGTCAGGCTGCTGGCCTTCTGAGGCTCATCTAAGGTTTCAGCTACACAACAACAGCAGGAGAGGAAGATGGCTGTGGAATGGCTCAGTGACTGAACACTCACAGGCGTGTCAAGACCCAGGCTCCAGCTCTAGCACCACACAAAAAGACAAACAGAAAAATAGAGTGAGAACTTGTGGACTGGCCAGAGTTTATCCACACACTCTTCCTCTTGGGAGAGTGTCCTTTCAAGAGACAGTTGAACCAGTCAGTTTCCAAACATGATTTAACAAAACCAAATATTTGGATTTTAAGGAAATGAATCTAAACTTTTGACTCAACATGGTCTGGAAAGCCAGGATGACAAGTCATGACACCCAATAAGCGAATGCCATTTCTGTTCACGGTAGGAAACTCAAAGCACTGGCTGGAAGGACTGCTGACTGTATTGTGATCTCAACAGAGAAGCCATAGGGTTTGTTTTGTTTTTTTAATATAGTTACAAATCCGTAGTCACTCAGTCGCCAGTACTCTTAATGACACAGATGGATCTATGACAACCTCTAATGGGTGTAACTTAAGACAAGAGCAGATGACTCGACCAACAGATTCATCAAACTCTTCCAAACTGCAAATTAAAAAGAAACAAATCAAATACCGCATTTTCCTCACAGATGTTAAGCTAAACTGAATCAGGCTTGTGCCTATAATTATGGCATTACAAGAGATTTACCGTCATCAAAGTCAATCACAACACACTGAAAGAAAGCTGATGAAAAAACTCAGGAGAGGCTGGGTAATAATTTAAAATTTTTTCACAGCTAAAGATCTCATTGATTTCGGCCACATATCTGTTTCCTTCAACTGAAGAGGCCTGGAGTTAGAGAACGTAGCTCGGGGTGGGGGAGGGGGTGGGGGAGGGGGGTTTCTGCTAAGTTCTGACTGTACAGCATTCATCAAATTCATTCCCAGCATCTGTGGTTGACAGTTTTTTAGTTAAGCAATTTTTGTTTTGCATTTGGCCAAGCTTCATTTAAACTTTTTAAATATGAGAAAGAAATACAATCCCCCAAATCCAGGGCATTCTAAGCAAATAGAGACTCTTAAGCACTGTATTGAGTACAAATTGTGTGTTTGCACATGCAAGTTCCTCCTCCACTTGTCTGTGGGACTTCCAGGAAAAACCGAGGGTCAGAGAGGATGGGTGTCCTCACAGGCTCATTCATTATCAAACATCGCGTCCCTTCATTCCTTGCTTTCACTCCTTGCTTTCATTCTCCTAATGCCTATGTGACTTAACCATGCCAAGGCATGGCAGCTCAGCCAATGAGCTGACCCAGGCCAAGCGTCCCTTGTCCCCCTCCAGTGTTTGTGCAGCAGTTCTCCCACGCCACCATCTCACCTCTGCCGAGATGCCCCTAGGATGAAGCTATGGAGCCGGCACTCACTCTAAGCTATAACTTCCAGCTCCCGCCAGCCTGTCTCCACTCAAAGTATTCATTTAGCAGGGAAGCACAGCAAAATTTATAGTCTGAGCTTTTATTGTGTGGAGTTTCAGCACCACGAGGAACCTTATACTCATGCCTTAAAAGCCTTTACGAAGGCAAGCCCTGATTTTGTTTTACTCAGTTGGGAAGATCAGCAGCAAGACTGCAAATAGGTCTGAGATTCAACAACTTGACACTCTCCAGACCCTTGACTTTACACTGGACTTCTGAAGAGGCCACAGGTTGAAGAAAAAGAACGCAGCAATGATCTAGTTGCCGTCAGCTCTGACCACTTGACTTCAAGCCCCAGAAACTACACACTGGAAGAACCAAACTCCCTTAAGCCCTCCATACACACTCCACGGCTTCTGCATGCTCACACACATGCACATGGTAAGTGAGTAACACATAAGTAAACGAATAAACGAATAAATAAATAGTTATGGTGAATGTTTGTAGTTTATAACATGCTGTATGAGGTCTATAAGGACAAAATGGCTGCTACAATGAGGTAGATTTAATATCACATCCTATATAGTGACTTCTTTAGAGGGTGGCTGCCATCTACTAATCTGACAAAAATCTCTCATACATAACAGTTTTATTGAATGAATCCTCATATTGTATATTAGACACCTGGCCTAGTCATTCTACTTACCTGAGATTTTGTGTAATCTGACCTCCATGTCTCTGCCCCAGCCTCACCATTGATAGCCACCTCCATTCTCACGGTATACCTGAGCTCTGTTTGTCTCTCTCTCTGTTTGTCTGTCTGTCTGTTTCACTCCATATACAGCTGAAATCATTAATTATTTTTATTTCTGCACCTAGCTTAGTCCACTTGGCATGGCACCCTCTAAGTCTATCCATGTTATGCAAATAGCAAGATCTCTCTTTCTTTCTTTTTTTTTTTTAAGGCCAAATTATATTCCATTACACACAAGCACAAATACACCATGTTATCTTTCAGGGGGCATTTTGTGTCTCTCCATGTCTCTGATATTGTGCCGTGTGCTGTGAACATGGGAACTCAGAAACACAGGTGTCTTTATGAGGAGACAATTTTATGTCCATTGGCGTTACACCCAAAATAGAGACCAAAGGGTCGTGTGGCAGTCAGTTCTCCTTCTGATTTCCTTAGTAGCTCCATGACGCTTTCTGAGCAGCTGTACCAACTGCTGTTTCTAACACCACCCTAGGGCTCATCATCCTCCATACCCAGGCAAAACTTACCTCTTTTCTCTTTGGAAGTCGCCATCCTCTGAGGAGATGCAGTTATTTGAACGTGCATCCCCCCAGTAACGGAAGGTGTTAAGTATCTTTTCCACATACTGTCGGGGATTTTTATGGCCTGTTCAAAATATATATATATATATCTGTTCAAGACTTTTGTCTGTATCATTACAGTATTTATCTTGCTGCTTTTGAGCTGTATGACTTCTTTATCAAATGTGAAGTTTGCAATTATTTTTGGAAACAGTTTTAGAATGTTGGTCTTTCTTAATTTCTCACCCTTTTAATCTCTCTCTCTTTCACACATATACACACTCACACCAGATCCTGTTTCCAGGGTTTGTTCTTTCTCTCTGGCAGCTGCTACTCTCTAGCACACTTGATATGTACAATACACACGGGCTTCGTTTGCCTTAATGAAGTGTGAGCCTCATGAAGGATCGCTTGTATTGCTGCTGTGTTTCCTGTGTCCATAAATTATGATAGTGCCTATGTGTTCATTCACAAAGTATTTACTGATTACCCACTGTGTGCCAGGCCCTGCTGAAAGTCTTAAAGATACAACAGTGAATCAGAGAGACAAAAATTCTCTTTCCTGGCTTTTTTCCCCATACCATGCATCCTTTGCCTCACTGGAGGACCATTTGCAGTAGAAGTCACCTGGTAAAAGCCCATTTATTTTAAACAAAAATTTCAGCCTGGCAATTTCCACAGACAGTTAATCACAGGCTAACAAAAACTGACAAAAAGCAAAACTGAGGAGGGATTGCTGTCTGCACTGTGGCGTCTCAAGCACCCAGAATCAGACCTGGCTTGTGACGGCTGCTGAGTGGATGTTCGTTGCCTTAGATCTCGTCCTCACTGTGAATGAGTACCTAACCTAGATTCTTAGTCACCTCCCAACCTAGACGTCGGTCCATCTCCCATCTGTTCTAGAGGAATAGTTTTATCTGATCAGTTTATACCATTTGGCATAATACCACTTGGACATACTATTTATTCACATAGAATAAATCATAGCCACTTAAACTGTGGACCAATGACCTTAGATAGGGTCTTAAAACCGAATTCGGGGGCCACAGAAAGTTGACAATAGAAAAGAGGTTCTGAAAGCACAGAGAAAGGCTAACTCAAAACATAATACGCATGTTTCTTACACGTTTCTGATACACTCTCTCACTTGTGTTGTCTCGCACAGGTTACTGCAGTCTTGGTTCTGAACACAGCATTGTGCACTCAAACCCCATGCCGTACAATGGAGAAAGCTAGCTGAAACACAGCAGCTACCTGAAACACCTGAGATAGCTATCTGTTCGGAATTAAGAGCTTTCACTGTACATATAAAATGGCAGTTTTAATTTTTTTTAAAAAATGATTTAATATAGAAAACAAGACTTTTAATATTTTCCTACCATGACTCTTCAGCAACCCACAGCAAATCAGCTTGGATTGTATTAGAATGTCTGGCTTTAAAAATTGCTGCTTGAGTTGTTGACATGAGTTAAAAACAAAGTCATTGAATGGGTTTTAAACTGAGATTAAAGCAGAATTGCCAATAACTTCTGAAATGATTCTGAACATCTGCCATTTCTACTATGTAGCTATGTGAATTTACATTTGCAGCATTGATAATCATAAAATCAAAACACCAGTCAACTCTGGATAACGCTAATATGCCAAATTCAGCCAAGATTTAATTCCTTATGTAAAATAAACAAGGACAAGCGTTTCATTTGCATGACAATTTACTTTTGTTGTTTCTCATAAATGGTAAAGTTATGTGTATATTTAAATTTTTTAAAATAGATTTTATACTTTATTATCAATAAGTGTTTTACTTGTATATCCATTTTATATATCATTTATCAGTCAAAAGGGGTCATAGTAGAAAACATTCGTGAAGATCTGAAATACACCACCACGTTCACTGTGATTCAAAGCCACAACATCAAGCAATGGCTGTTGCAGAAAATCATTCCACTTCCTCTATGCATATCTCCACCCTTCATGCACACCATGAAAACAGCACAGGTTATCAATAAGACCAGAGGACTTTCAGAACCTTCTGATCATAGATATGTCTTCAAGCTGGAGCCTGGGCCAATTTCACATGACATCATGGATGAAAGGTATTGCATCAACCCTTTTTTATGAAGAGCCAGACAGACACATTTTCAATGGTGTTCACTCTATTTCTATAATATGAACATAGCAATATGAAAAAAGAAAAAAAAAAAAGCTGTTCCTGGCAGGGTTCTAGTAGCTACTGACAGAAACAGGTATCCAGTCAGGTTTTGTCTTTGAGCCATTGTTTGGCAGTCCCTGTCTCTGACCCAGCGATGTGTGAAATAATCCCAAGCCCCATTGTCCAGTTCCTTAAAACCAACTACAGCCCTGTTGTCTAACATGCGCATATCTGTCTACATGTCATCTTTCATAAAGGAAAAGATCGCAGTCAGGCATGGCCATTTACCTTGTTATCCCAGTGCTCAGAAGCCTAAAGCAGACGGGCCTTCAGTTCGAGGCCACGCTGGGCTACATAGGTAACCCTGTCAATAGATAAATGAATGACCACGCTATCTCCTCAAGCCATCAAAGTCCAGGCTGTTTGCTGTTCTGCCTTCCTGATGATGGGGCACATCTGAGGATGTGTTGACCAGAGATTTCCAGTTTCAGTGCTGGGCACTCTACTGTCAGCTAGGACTTCCAGGGTCTGGGGAAATGAGCATAAGAGCCACGAATTACTTGGAAATTCTGCTTCTACTGCTCTGGACTTAAAGTCCAGGTATCAGAAGCATCTACCTTAAATCCTGGAGGAGGGTCAGTAAGAAGGAGACCCAACCTACTCTGAAAGTTGCAGGCTAAAAGCTTTTCAGTATACAGTTGTGCTTGAAGACATCTTACTGTCTGTGTTCAATGCCCCTAACAAGCCAGGTTACCGGAAAGCTAATAGTCCCCTAACAGCTGGCCCCAGGGGAGAAATTTTATCATTGTGAGTTATAACTTGCTGCCTTGCAGGCTAACTGGTAAAAGAAAACCACAGAGAAACAGGAACATGAGTAGAAAAAGGAGAAAAGGGAGTAGGAAAAATGCAAGATGGAAAAAAAAAAAAAAGAAAAACTACTAGAAGGTGCAATCGCTGCTCAAACTACCTATAATAAATTAATCGTAGCAGTTAGTCATTAGCACCTGTCAATGCCTTCTGATTGCCTGAATCTTAGTCTTCTGACAGGGTGAATTCTTCCTGGGCCCACAGCTCTGGAATCCATAAGAAGTATTGCCGATTCACTCACTCTCCCTGGGCACAGATTCCTATCAATTCAATAAAAGCAAGGCTTTAGTTTTTATTTTGTTTTTCTTCTAAAAGTCGGAGAGAAATGTGGTGCCAGTAACAGCCACCATTCTGTGACTAAGTTGAGTTTGGAAGACTCCCAAGGGAGTCTGTACAGCGGCTTCTGCACCAGAGGTGTCAAGGGTTGGTCAACTTGCCTAATCCCCCCCCCCATTCCCTGAAGCCTATGAGAGACATTTCTTCCTACATACTATTGTCCAGAAATCAGTGTTCTCCTCACATCTGCACTTGATGTTGAGCCTGGATCTGATGAGAATGTGCTATGTGGAAGATAGATAGGCAGAGATGTCCTACAGTTTTAGGGAAGCTGCTTTTCCAAATAAGAAAACCGAACAAGGAAGTTATACGAATCTGTCAAGGTCACAAATCCCAAATTTACTCAGATATTTCTGTGCTTTGCCTCTACCTTTGGTTCATACGAGACAAGGTCTCCTCAAGCCAACTGTAGTAAAATAGTGGTTCTTTTCTGATCCATAGCTGTGTCCTCCTAATTGAAACATTCACAGTGCTTCATAGGACAGTGAAGGAAGACGAGAAAGACTCAGGAAACCCAGAAATTTACAAGATTCCTCAAGACTGAATAAACAATAATCAACTGCTGAGAAATAACTGAGGAGCTCTTTGAAGCCATCATTCATGCTGGTTCAAAGCTGGATTTGGGGGGAATAATTTCTTTGTTCTGTTATTGGTATCTTTGTAGGCAAGACACACAACAGTTTCTACCAACCTAAGGGATGCTGAGCCTCCAGGAACCTCCTCAAAACATAAAAGGCCCATTGAGATTATGGGAATTCAAACAACTTTTTAATCGCTTGAAGTTGATATTCAATGATTTAATAGATATATTCAGTTATTAATTCCAAGCATGAGACATGGTTTACTCAGAAACTTGCTAGTTTCTCAAAGCCTGAGCTTATTTACCGTCCTCCGTGGACTCTGAAATTAACGGTAAGGAGACTTGGTCAGAAACAAAAGGTATAACTTTTTGTAAATGTCTGCCTTCCTCATTCAAGTGTAAAGCAGAGAGAGGTACCTGTGAACCTTGACCTCAGGGCCGGTGACCTTCGGGGAGAGGTGTCGAGCTTCCCTTTATGAATCTCCATTGATCCTCATATTTTCCTCAGGGTAAGGTCAGAGACAGCAAATGTCATGAGGAAACTCACATTTTCCAATGTTTCCCTAGTCCATCTCACAGGGTAACCATCCTCATAAAATAGATTTCTGTCTGAACTCCTCAGAGAGCTGTGCCCGGTGTGTGAACTTTGAGAAAAATGGCCCCACAACCAAAAGCTTTCCTAAGTGTGACTTACTTTTCCAGTCAAACATTTCCAGGTCTGGCTGTGATCTCATGGCTCATTAAATGGTTAAATAACAGCTCAAGCCGTAAAGTTACATATGTGAGAATTTCTCAACCTACCTTACAAACTTTTAATATATTTGTCCTACCCACCCTGACTCTTAAATGCTTCTTCTAAGGTGTTCTTTACTTCAAAAGAAGCATTTTAACCTTCAACAAGGACTCAAATCTTGATGCGAGGATAGCAAATTCCCAACCCTTTGCTGAGAAGAGCCTGACGTAGCTTGCTGGAAGAGTTTACTCTACACCAGGAGTAGAAAGTATTAGCAAACACTGAAAATAATTTGCTGTGTGTGAACTTTAATAAAAAAGACAG